GAATATGAAATGTGAAACCGTGCGCTCTTTTAGTAAGGAGTAGCATTTTAGTGTAGTTGGTCGGGCGATTTACGGTAACACCATCCTGGAAAAGGTGTCCCTTATTGCTGCAAAGTGAGTTGCGAGTTCCATTTATAATTCCTATTCTATTTCAAAAATTCTTTGATTTTTTCAAATTATCAATCGACAATGGTCCTAGAGCGTACAAATAAACTGACTGATGACTTAGGCTCGAAGACTTCTGCCTAAGCCTGGAGGGGACGGGGCTCTAGGGTGGCTGATGTAGTCTACTTGTGGAGAAAAGGTCTTCTCATCCTGTGAAAAGTGCTTCAAATTTGGTATTTATTACTTTTGTCGAGCTTTTTTATAAAATAACAGTTTTTCCATGCAAATTTCACTTTGCTTCTGTTTTACCTTGCTTTTTTGGTCTTGAATGCCGTGGGTACCCTGCACAACGTCCCACATTATTTAAATAGCGCCCGAAGCTTTCGGCGAGTTTCCTGAAACCTCAAAGTACAAGTTTATGAGTAATTAAACAGTTAACTCTATTGGAGAAGGACTAACTGTAAATGTGTCACTTTACTATGCGTTGTATTTCAAATTAGGATGATCAGATGATGACTGTGGTTTCACTGATATTTGTTGAATTTCCTCAACGAATTTTTTGATCACTTGTGGTTTAAGATCTCCAAAGTGCCGCTTTACTAGTCAACTAGTTGCCTCCTTACTTTTTTCGTCGAAGTAAATATTTCATCCTGTTATTCAGGACTATCAAGCAAAAACTCTTCCCTATAATTAGTTGTCGAAAGAGTGAACAGGAAGTAGGGATCAAAGTTCTAAAGAAGCTTTTAATGTGAATGTCGTTCGACACGAATAACAACTCAAATGAGGGTAACTAGTAGGTCAACGTTAGCGTTTGTGGCTGAAGGGGTGTAAATATAATACTCAACTTCTTGTATAGGATGTTCGCAAAAAAATTTTCTATTAGCGATAATAGGCTCCATTTACTCATTAGTACTTCTTGGTATAAACCACGCAATTATGGTTATGTTCTGTATTTATTCTCATTCTATGCAAGAACTATAAGCTGTGAAAGGAAGCTAATTCGATGCTTCTTCGAGAAACCAAAGTTCCAAACGAGCTTTTGTCAGTATTGATTCGAGCAGATTCTGGAAAAAAAGTAGATTTGCACTAGTGAATTTCTGGTAATTGGGCGGACGTCCCAACTTTTGTGGTCCTTTGTTGTTGTTTTGCACTTTGAAAGTTCTCCTGACCATTCTGGACTTTTAACTCGAATTAGACCACAAAGTAAAAACAACGATAGTAGCTGTTCGCAAAATTTCCACAGAGAACGACCAAAAAGTCCCGCTTCGAACACTTTGTGCTTACTATGCGTTGCAAGTATAGAAAATCTCGCTGCAGATGCTAAGGCGTGTCAGGCGGCTGGGTTTGGCTTGGCGTCATCCCGTTTCCCACCAATCGTTGTGGCTTGCCCGCTTCAACAATTGGTGGAGAACGGGCGCAAACCCAGTTCAGAATGGAGAACCGCGCCAGTTCCCCTGACACGTCTAGTGTCTACAGCGAAAACGACCGCATTAATCCAGATTGAAAGCCTTATGACACTAAGTTAATCTCGAAATCCTGGAGAATTACTTATCTACAGTCATATCCGCTGCGGATGATGGGGCGTTCAAAGGTGGGAAGGCTTGAAGGCGCCAACCCGTCTTTGCCTTTTTCTTTTGAACAACAGACTGTATCATATCGTACTCGGGTCGTTTTCCACCAATTGTTGTCGCTTAGCCGCATTAACAGCTGGTGGAGTACGGGCTAGCGGCACGCTGAACCCAGCCGCGCTGACTCACCCACCATTCGCAGAGAACAAGACTGTGTGCTCAACATTCAATAAACCTTGGCATCGTGTGTGGTCTTCCTGATGTACTGCTGTAGCCAGAACCAGGATGCTATAGTGATTCATTCGGCTTACGTATCGGCCTTGTCGCCTTCATCAGAGCCTGGAAAGTCAAAGAAATATGTGGTGTACCCTTCAAATCCATTTGAAACTTAGGAACCCCGTTCACCACAGACTCTGGAGCCTATAGAGATATACTGTAGATGAATACTAATATACAACGTACAGTGTTACTCGCTGCGAATGAAAAGACATGTGAGTGAGGCTTGGTTTGGCGCGCCGCAGTCCGTTCTCTACCAGTTCTAGAAGCGCTAGCCGGAAGGAAATAAAGAGAGATCGGGCTGGCGCTGCGACAAACCTTTTCCCATTGACAAGCCCTATCATCCGCAGCGGCGAACAAGACCACCGCTAAAATGGCTCACAGTGGGTGAAGAAGTATTACAGAAAGAGAACCCGGAGCCACACCTAGTACAGACCACTACATGCATCCTTTTCTCTCGATAAGTAAACAATACCATTTTTTACGATAAACGATTTGTTCTCAAAGGAAGTTGGCACGATAATTTGGTACTCTGTCCTAAATAGAATGGTATGGTAGCAAAGGTGCTAAATAGTAGGGAAATGGCGAAAAAGTGGAACGATGAGGAACCTGCAGAAAAAGCTTTTGCTCTACACGACTGAGGAAGCAATTCTGGACGAGTTTCCCGCTGGCATCGTGCCAACAACCGCTGTAGTATATACTCTGCATTTCGTACTCATATATCCATGCGCACAGCAGTCGCTTCATAGCAAACATTTCGCCTCATATTTTACTTAGCGAATGAAGCGATACCAGCATAAGTATCGGTCGGAAAATTGTGGGCAGGCAGGCGCGGTGGGCGTTGGGGTCGGTATGTTGCAGCTTGATAGGGCGTGTAAGGGTACCTTTCTTGGAAAGGCGCCACGCAGCGCTTGCTCAGAGGCGCCAAATTCAGTCCTGCTAGGCGTATTAATCCTATGCACCTTCGGGATTTATCGTTCCAACTGCCTTTTAGAGCAGCTATTGCTAGAAATCTTCCAGAACGTCTGAAGTCATTAGGTCTAATCCCAAATGCAACGAAAAGGAAAGATGTAATGATTCGTATTTAGTATGATTGATTGCCTGTGCTATTAAACGGAATGCTCGCAAATAAAAATAGCAGCTGAATTACGCAATTATTCACCAGCTAGCCTAATTGGCTTCACGGCCGCGTTAGTTGCAATATGTGAACGAAACTTCGCAAACTCCAGGGAAAACCAAGAAAAATGAGTAATTACAAGTTGGTATTTATGAGTGTGTCCATGTCTTCTTTCAGTGTCCGGACCTTCTGAGGGACCTCGTGATTTCTGTTTCATTAACGCTATCTATTGTATCCGTTGCTCTGTTAGTTGCAGCCATTCTTCTTTTCTCAATATTTGATTCGATTCAAGTGAGTTTATTTCACTATTGTATCAGCGAAAAATTTAAGGAGCTAGCTAAAAACAGATGAGCAGGCCCATTTTAATATTTCGAAATTTATGGCTCTTACTGGTATATACGCGGTGCACTGACATAAGGCGACGCTTGCCACGGGCACGGTCCGTTACAGGGTATAGCATCGTTGGGAGAATTCCATCATAACAGAAGGGGGGGGGGGGCTCACTTGGCCGCTAGAGGTCGTACTGGCCTGCGAGAGAATTTTTCTTGAACTGCGGGAAAATTTCTTTCGATTGTTTTCTTTTCTCGGTTTCTTCCCCCCCCCCCCCTTGGGTGCCAGCGCAGAAGAACTACCATCCATACAAGTACTATTTTTGATTGTTGCAATTAGTGTTAATTTTTGGCGACCTCCTTCACCCCTGCCTCCTCGCCGCGACGGTTGTTTTTTGGATGGGGAGAGAAACCGAAGAAATTTAGGGAGGGTGGTAAGAAGTTGAAGGATCCCTCTATGAGGGAGCAACGAGCACCTCGCTACTTCCACCTTACGACTCCCCTGGGAAGCGATTATTATTGTGCAAGGATTACTGTATTTCAGTGTCGTCGTCTGTCAATTCACAAAAATCTCGCTACCGCTTTCGTCTTTCGTTTCGCCGTGCTAGCCATTTGGACAATTGTACAATCTACAAACCTATTCAATGATTGTTCAACCTTCAATCCGCAACCGCTATGGAACTGGGTGAGCGAGATTCTTCATTTTTTAGGAATTTCCAGTTTTTAAAAAATTCGAGCAATATGGTTATGAGCAGTTTTTCAGGAATGGATTTGTAAGATGATTCTTTGGTTCGTCATCTACTTCCAGGTAGAGTTTCATATAATCTGCCATATTAATTTTTCAAGTTTAAGCGCTGTTTGGCTTGGAAACTGCAGTTTTATTTCATTATGTCGCTATGTGCCGTACCTCAAAGGAGTCATTCTCCAGTGAGGCTGAGCCATATCTTGTCTGCTCGTCTGCACCCTCTCAACGAGACAGCATTACATGTTCCAACATGGCTCAATTAATTCGCAACGTGTCTTCCTCTCATCTGCAGACGTGGCTATATGCTTTGCTAGGAGAGACTGCCTCCTTGTGACAGGCCTTATTTCTCCTCCTTAAAGGCAGTTGGCACGATGGTTTCCTACTTACTAAAATGCTAGTAGGGCGCTGTATAGTGGGGAAATGGCGAAAGAACGGAGTGAAACGGTCAAAATCCGGCGAAGAAAAAGCCTCCGTTCTCAGTGACTTGTAAATCGATTTCGGACGAGTTTCCTGTACGCCATCTTGCAATTACCGTACGAAAGTACGGATGCATAATTGTACCCATATATGCATGCAGCATCACGGCCGCTTCATACCAATCCCTTTGCTTTATAATTTGCTCAGCAAATGAATGAATACGAGCGTCAGAAACGGTCGTCCGTTTGTGGGCGGGCGGGCAAGGAAGGCGTTTGGGACGTAAAGTTGTTGCTCAGTAGGGCGTTATAGAGGTACCCTCTTGGAAAGGGCTTCACGCAGCGGCTGTCCGAGGTCACGAATTCCTATTAATGCCGGGTTGTACAAATCCTACCTCTATAACGATTTATGTGCAATTGCCTTAAGCGAACTGTCTTATTTTCCTTCCTTTGAGCGCATTTCGCGCTGATACTCAAATAGGCGTCAGTCGACTATATGATTACGCTATCGGGATTTTCACACAATCGTTGTATACGTTCCTCTTCTGAATTTTTGCGGGCTGCTGGCCATGTAAGAGCTCTTCTGATGTGGTGACCACGCCCACACGGTCAGTGCGGAATTTGTCTTCAGTTACGAACATTCAGGTGGCCTCTGTAATGTGGATGCTGATTGAAGGAGCCTATTTGTATAGTCGATTTACTGTATTTGCAATGCGTCACAATGATGCACCATGGTTTCTATATATGATATGTGGATGGGGTGAGTAACTGAAGACTTTATAAAATTAACTGTGTAATTATTTCCCTGCAACGTGTTATTACCTGTAAGTTTTTCATCAATTCAAATCAAGTCCCTTATGTCAAAACGCCGCAGTTCGTTACATTTACCGGCGCTCATTTTCTAAAGCCAGATAATTATGGCAGTAAATTCCACCAACTACACTGGTTCGCATAATCATGGAGAGCCGCGTCCCTTTCGCCCCTTCGGCGCCCACCTTCGCTCCTGATTTTTCTCTTTTGGAATTTTTGAGCGCGACGACTAGAGAGGCCGGGAAGTGGGTCCCTCTCTAACGTCCACTATTGGAAGAGGCTCTACAAGCGGATCGACTCTTTTATGAATATTTGTGCAGATATGCGCCTATTCTTCCCTCAACATCTGTGCCAGCCGGGAACTGATTGTCCCAAAAATAACATTCCTTATTGGAATAAAGGGGACGTTGTCTGTGAATAATTCCATCTCAATTCAGTGAACTTTCTATTTACCAAAATCTAATCAATGAATATTTTCATGTGATTAATTATTGGATTAGGTAGTTAATCACTTAAAACCGCATTACAGCGCTCGTAGAGCAACTGCGTTTGTAGCCAAAGAAATCAGTCAATTTGTGGCAACTCGTTTTGAAACGTTTTTCTAAGGTGATATGCGGGCTTTTAAAATAGGGTCAAGCTGAAGCGCGTAGGTTGGCAAAATTTATTTGAAAGGGACCACGCTAGAATGCGACTACTGCACGTCATATCTTCTTGCCATGTTGACTACGTGGCACCTAAAGCCTCCAATGGTGGTCCCACTGCGAAAGGCAGAGCGCAGAGAAATAAAGGGCTGTGGCTGCCAGGGCACCGAGAGGTGCAAAAAACATGTCGCGAGCCAGGAAATGAGACTTTTTAAGGGGAGAGCACCGTCGTGGATGAGTCTCTTATGATGTGCGAAAAGTTGGGATGTGAAAGGTCACAGTGGTCGGAAACCCAAGCAGACTTGAGAGCGCTGAGAAAAACAGAAAGTTCACGCCATTAGAAGGATTGAGTTCCAATTGAAGGTAGACCGGCATATTGCCATCTTCTCACGTATTTCAGTAACTTAGGATGCGTGCAATCGCTATTCTCTTAATCGAGAACGATTATCGCTCTTATTATCCCAGTACCCACTTCCAATAAATTTCGGACACTACCTCGGTATGAGAGCGCAGACACGCAAACATGACGTGTCGCTGTCTGCCCCTTATTCCGCCCCGATTGGGAGCATACGGTCAGATTTTTCCAGGCGGGATAAGCTTACTTAGGTGTTTTACGTCATTTATGGAGTTTTCACTGTCAAATGATTTTACGAAGCGTACTGCAAACAGTCTCATTCCTTGCGGATGACGGGGCGTGTCAGTGCGACTGCGTGTGGCGCTGCGCCAAATGTCCCCTTTTCCACCAGTTGTTGAAGCGTGCAAGCGACAACAATTGGTGGAAGCCGATTGAACGATACAGTCATGTTGTTTGCTCGTTTCAACTTATGGCAAACGCGTTTGGCACCGCGCCAATCGCAGCCGCGTTGACACGCCCCATCTTCTGCAGCGAAGTGGGCTGTAGAAACGTGTTCAGTTGTGTTGGTTCCGTAATTTTGAGTACTAGTTACTTTTGTAGGTGTACCATTGGTAGTGGTAAGCTGTTGGACAGTTGTTCATGAGTACAAATCTCGACAACAAGGCTCATTTTGTTGGGTACCGTACGCTCAAGGAAGTCATTTGTGGATACTTGCTGGAACGATGGGTTTTGCATGGATTGTAAGTTTCCCTTTACTTCTTCATCAAAAATATTTCTTTGCAAATTAGCAAGTATACTGTAATTTGCATTGCTGAACATAGCCATGATTCAAAAACGTAATGAGCCTAATAACATCAGAATTTATGAGTTCTGAGAATGGTGCTGCTAATTTCGCTCTGATTGGACTTCCTTTGCAATCAGAGACGAATGGGTTCTCGTGATAAGGGATAAACCATATAACATAAATAAATACTCACTTTCATAGCAATCTCTCAATATGGTCATTCAGATGAATTTTATATTCCTCTTGGGAATTGTGATTATTCTCGTGCAAAAACTTCGGACGGAGAACTCGGCCGAATCGAAGAAGATATGGTGAGAATTTTGTTTTTCTCATTGCAGGTAGTCTGCTAACAGTAAGTACCATCATGGTCCCTGCAGACGACAGGGCGTGTGACGCGGCGCGCTGGACCGCAGTCAAGGCGGTCTTTCTCTACCAATGGTGAGCGTTCTGAGCCCCCTACAATTGGAAGTCTGCCCTGGCTGCGTCCCAAGCCACGCCTCCGTCACACGCCTTATTGTTTTGCGGGGATCGTGACTGTAAACTGACAATCTAGCGTAAATCGGTCTCTAAAAGCTGCCAGAACACACTGGGCTCCGGTCCGAGAGCCCTGCCCACATTACATACAAATCTAATTTTTTGCATTGCCTCATGACTTCTTTGATGGATTTTTTCAATCCTCATTTTACGCGCCCTTAACCCGACTGACAAACGGTACAGGAACACAACTGACTCTGCCTCAAATAAATCCGCACTTTTTGAACACTTATTTGGTTTGATTTTTCTGGTTTTTATTTTATTCTGTGCCATAATTCTTATCTTCTATTCACTGGGGTTCCGATGACTGAACGTCGTCAACTTGTGTTTTTTTTCAACTTCTTAATTTTTGGTGTTTTAGAAACGGTAATACTTATTTTCTGCATTTCAGCCAATTATTGATCGAATTGATCCTATAATTTTTGTTGTTTTCAATTGAGCACTTCTCAAAAGCATGTTCTTCCTAAAAAGGGGGGCGTACCAGTGGGAAAGGCACGGTGGTTGTGCGTATCCGCCCACACTAATTTGCCGTGGAATTTTCCTCGAACTGAGTTGTGGCTGTTCAAATTACGTGGCAAGCAAATGTTTTTTTTTGCTGGAGGTTAGAACTGGTCTTCTGGGATTCTGCCGAGCACCACCTTCACATTAATGCGGCTGACTTCATCAAACTCAATTTCTTCTGAAACTTTCATTTGAAAGAGATGAAATTTCAAATGTTGCAGTGTAGATGTTTAGTTGACTTGGGCTTTCAGCAGTGTCCTCGAAATGCCCTTAAAACATCCGTACTAGTTGTCTACAATCAAACTAGTGGCACTATAATCTCATTTAGGTGCAGCCAGTTCCAGGGCCACCTCACTTCGCGGCAAAACATCCATAGTATTCACGCTGCACTTACTGCAGAACAAAAGATCTACTTGGAAGGGAATAGTAGGGGGTGTTATGAAGGAGTCAAAACAAAAGAGTTCCCTCATGCTGGCCGCGTAATGGTTCTAGAAATCACAGAAATCCCAGGCTACTATGAACTATGTTATCTACAAAAATCGGCGGTGGTTCCGTTTTGTCAGTTTAATGTTTAAACGTCTTTAAGTTTACTAAAAAGCCGTATTTTAGTGCCAATTATAGGAGCTGTTTCAAGACTACACAGATGAACATGTGAGCCACTCTGGTTACAAGTAACTACAGGGCTCTACGCGGTAACCTGCACACGCTTCGCTGAATACCTTTGGTGCCTACAAAGCTGTACTATTAGCCCGACCAGAGCAATCAGTGGTTTGAGTAGTTTGGCCAAGTCCGAATAATCACCACAGGCTGGTTCCGTCGCCTCATCGAGGCTGCGAGCGGTAAGCAGAGGGAAAGGTTTTATAGACATACCGTGTAACAGGAGAAAAACACGAAGCGAAATACAGACCCCTTCTCGCTAGCAGACACCCGGACATAAGTACGACCGACCTAGCCCCATTAATAGGCGTCCGCTGAAACAAGACAATCCATACTATCGAAAATTTTTTTTCAGCAAGACCGAATTGTGTGACCTACCACGCCCCCACTTCCCTGTTGGGTGTCCCATTCTGTGCACTGATCTAGTGGTCAGAGCCAAATGCCACATATCCACGCCTTGTTGTAGTTGTCACGGTCGTCAAAAACATTTTATTCATTTTGTTGGGATGTTTAGCATTGAAACCAGCTTTCAGACGGTTGAGTGTGCCCAAGTAAACATGATCGTTAAGGTCTTTCAGCAATTAACCAGTATAACAATAGGCTCAAAAACAAAGCTACAGTGAACTGCTAACATTCACTTATTCAAAGCTTTTACAAGGTTTAGCTAGTAGCAGTAACATCCGATTTGCCGGTGACTATAGTATACCTTAAACAAGTTCGACTGTCTGTGGTTCCTGTTATGAAGTCAAAATGTCCATTCAAATGGACATTCTATTTTTTTTTAAATTTTGCTTACTGAGCCGGATTCTCTGAAGTTGTGGCAGTGCCAATATTCAACAGTTTTACGACACGGTTGTTTTTTGTCACGACTAAGTCCTGACACGTCACTCTGGAAGAAATTTTGACGAAACGGCGAAAACAAACAACCAGGAGCGTCACTGGACTTAGGGACGCTTAACTTTAATACAAGTCACTTCCAGGGCTCCAACAATTCGTTTAATTTCAATTTTAATTCGTTTAATTTTGATTTGATGAAAAACGTCCAGTGATTTTGCAAAAGCTGGAAGGAGCCAGATTGTTGTAGTTACTAGCTCAAAATTGATACTCACCTGCAAGAACTTTCATACAATACCTGAAATATTAATGGTACCCCTTTCTCCAGCAGTTCCCGTTTCTTCAATTAACCTGTAATACATCTACTCTGCCGCCAATTTTCTTCCATTTTCTTTCAGACAAATCTGTCATTCCCAAATGTCCTTGTAGTTCTTCCTTTCCTTCCTGTTATTTATCGGTGCACTCTTCAGGGTACCAATAACTCATCTTAGTACGAATAACTGATTGCATGCCCTATTTTGTGCATTGATTGAACTTTAGCACTTCAACATAACACCAACAGTTGACCTTTTCCCTTAATACTCCTCCATATGGGGCTTAAACACAAAAAGCTGGACTCAGTCGAGTAATTCCAAGGCCATTCAAGCAAAGAAGGGATCTCCCTTGGGACCCCTCGACCCGCAAATATGACGGGCCTTTCGTAGGTTTTATACCTGTAAAAAAAGCCCTATATCCGTCACAGAAATACAAGATCATCGTTCGATTACCGTACATTGCGATTGATTCAATACACAGAGTTGCTGAAAACTTCCATGATTCTCCTCGGAATTTCTCCACCAATATTGATTTTTCAATAGTTTTTTTGTTTTTATAATTTTTACCACAAAGTTGTTATTTCATACTTAGACTCGCTGCCCGTGAATGTGTTGAATGTTAGTTTACTTGTTTAACCGTGTGACAATTTGTCACAGCTACTACTTACGTAACGTGACGTAATGTACAGTCTTGTACGCTGCGGATGGTGGAGCGCGTCAGGGGGATAGGTTCGGCCCGGTGCCAATCCCCCATCTCCCTATATTTTTTCTCTCGTCAAGTGGCAATACAGTATCATATCTTTCGTGCCGGTCCTTTTCCCCAAACTCACCCTCACTATGCGCCATCCGCAGCAGGCGGGAATGTGCACTAGCGGCTCAAGTCCGGGAATCCACGGCTGAGACCATGCTTTAGAATTAGTAGTAATGAATAGAAGAGCCTATTGATGTAATTTAATTTTGTAGTTACTAAATTTGAAGCTCGCTCCTAGCCAGCAACAGAAGAAATCCTAGCGATGCATTTATGATTTTGAACAGTGGGAACATAGTTGCGATGGAATTGAGTTTACTTACCTTTTTTACTTTTTTGACAGCAGCTTCGAATAATATGAGGTTGTTTTCAGAAACCCTAAAAGAGCAAAAGTCTTTGGGAAGTTTCTCGAACTTCTTTATTTATTCATTTATTTAACTATTTATTCCTTTATTTATTTA